CAAAGCCTTTGGTTCAAAAACCTGGCCGCAAGGCAGCTTGTTTGGCACTGGACTACAAGGATTCCGTTTTAAGGAATAAGGAGCCACCCTCATTCCAACCCGCAACCTGGAGGACCATGAGGCTGAGTTTGTCTGGCCTCTAACCATTGACCAATCTGGTATGAGTGGCTCTGAAGGTGCAAAAGCACCACCCAGTATAGCTCAATGGATCACTGAGGCACACAAACCATCGCACCACGGTAAGGTCTAGCCTTATTGCGATGGCTTCTAGCTGATCACAACCAAGTGTCAGCTTAGGAGGCCGTCCAGGCCAATCTTGGAGGAAAGCTTTGCACTTCGATGGTGCAAAGCCTAGCCCGAAACGGGTGACAGCCAGTGCTAATCTGTCCAGCGCGGTTTGACACGTCTGGGAGCTGTCAGAGATGAGGGCAATGTCGTCTGCATACTCCAAGTCAAAGAGTTGTTCACTTTAGAGTAGCTCCACACCTAAGTCTTGTCCTGTAAATGCAATGACCTCGTCAATAACGAAGTTGAAGAGGAAAGGTGACAACGAGCATCCTTATCTCACACCGCTGGAGATCTTGAAGGACGGCGACAGCTTGCCGTAGGCCCTCACTCTGCCCGAGCTACGTGCGTATAATGCTTGGATACTATTTACATATTTCTCGGGCACACTTTTCCTAAGTAGACAGTCCAAAAATGCCCGTCTATCCACCGAATCAAATGCACCTTTGATATCGAGGAACACGACAACGGTGGGCCGCCAATATGTGTGACGGTGCTCCAACAATTGACGCAAGGTGAAGATGTGGTCAATGCAGCCACAACCCCGCCGAAACCCGGGTTGCTCCTCACGAATCTGGCTTTCACGAGTACTAGTCAGTCTGCGAAGGATTACCGAGGCAAGTAATTTGGAGGCGATGGGGATCAGACTGATTCCTCTATGGTTGCCGCATTCCGAGCGCGAACCTCTTTTGAAGATGGGAACAATAGCGGAGCGGCTCCAGTCGGTCGGGACACTTTCCTGCTCCCACAGTTTCACTAGTAACTCGTATAAATCATCCACAAGAGCAGGCCCCCGAATTTGAAAGGGGCTGGAATAAGATCATCTGGTTCCGCGGCTTTGTTCAACTTCAACAGTCCGATCTCACGTTCGACTTCTGAACGAGAGGGCGGATCCAAATGGGCAACCCATGGAGCAGAGCGATCACTTTCCAGTGAGAAATCGAACTATCCTGGCCGATTGAATTGCTTATCAAAATGTTCATCCCAACGCTCCTAACCTTCTGACAAATTGTGGATAGACTGTCCACTCTCATCACAAATTGTTTCACTAACACCATGTCTCCTGCTGCACGTTTCCCGTATCAGCCGGCTTTCTAAAGGTAGCGGCTGCTTCTGTCTGTGACGCACAAAAAAATCACCAGGAGTCGCAGTCTCTCTTCAGGCTAGCAATGAGTTTCGCTGGAAGCTCTTTGCGAGTTTCATTGTCTTCGCTTTCAGCCGGAATATGCCGGTGCGCATCGATAAATTCCCGAGACCGCGAAGAGACCCACTGTCTATGTTGGCTATTAGACTTACCACATGAGGATTTGCCTGCCACTACTAAGGTCTGGTAACTATGAGACCAGTGAGCTTCAGTTGCATCCACTGAGCGCTTACTCAACTTGCATGTCAGCATACTTTGATAGGCTTTCAGAACAGCTGGCATTGTCATTTGGCTGATGTCAATGCGCTCACAGCGTCGTCGTGGGCGTCCGCCAAAAGCATCCGCAGGTCAGCACATACAAGTGCATGGTCGGTGTCCACAGATGTGCTCCAAATCGAGCGACAGTTCTGGATGCAGCCTCTCCAACGGTAACTGATTGCAATGTGATCAGCTTGTGTCCAAGGCTGGTTTGAGGCTGGTGTGCGCCCAGTCACCCTCCGGCGAGTACTGTGTCTGAAGTTAGTGCTCGCAAGAAATAAGCGGGCATCTTCACACAAATGAAGTAACCGCCCACTGTTATCATTACAGGAGCCTACACCGTGCTGACCGCCCAGATGCATTTCATCAGTGGACGACTTTCCAAGTTGAGCTTTCAGATCATCAGCCAGCACAACAGTGTCTGTGCTTCTTCTATGGCGAAGGAACTCGGTACGTTGGCTGTAGTCCTTTTTTACCGAATCGTCGCTAGAGTTTGTGGGCGTGTGGGCAGCGATGATGAATAGACACCTCTAATAATCGTGCGCGACTTCGAAGCTTTGAACGAGCCAGCCAATCGAACCGCACACATCTGGCTACTGACTGGGATCCGGTCAACCAGAGTAGCTTCAGCCCGTTTACTCAGCACGATGCCAACCCCAACTAGGCCTTTGCTCGGAGCTGCATTGTCACCGGATAGGCGCAATGAGAAAGTGCTGCTAGTGTCACTTGAAGGGGATCGCAGAGTGAGCACAGAGCTCGAGTCTTTCAGGTGGGTCTCCGCCAAGCAGCAGATATCGATGTAGAGTGTCTCTAAAGTTCGGGCAGGTGCTGCCTGTTGACCGATCTGAAGCAATGTGCGTACATTGAGGCATGCCAATCTGAAGGAGGATCGAGTGCTCCAAATGTAAGCCGATGAACTGGTTGGATATGGGCTTGTCGACAGGGTAGGAGTTACGTTCCGCGTCCATATGTGAGTTGAAACTAGAAGACAAACGCCAACTATTGAAGCAATGTGGTGGAGGTCCAAGAATCGGGGTTGAAAACTGGGGGAATAAAAGTGAAGTTGGAACGGCACCATAAAGGATAAAATAGAAGGGGAATAAGAAAACGGGCAGGCTTGGGCAGTAGCATCCAAACCCTTATCCACCCTGCTTGGTGCGACAGATAAGGCACCGTTGATTATCCATTGCGGCGACCAGCGCACCAGGAATTTGTTTGAGGAGAGATTCATAGTATTGCATGGGCAGGATACTTTGAGTGTGCCCAGTTCTATACAGGAGAACGATTAGGGTTCTCAATCAAAGCCTTTGGTTCAAAAACCTGACCGCAAGGCAGCGGGTTTTGGCGTTGGGTTACAAGGAGTCCGTTTTAAGGAATAAGGAGCCATCCGAAGCATACTCTTTTTATGCTCGGGTCCACTCAGAGCTGAGTTTATACCACTGATCAATAACGAGTGGTTTTATTTGGTTGGTTGGTTGGCTCGTTGGTTCACGCTCCTTCGCAGCCATATAGTTATTGGAGAATTTGATGCGCTTCTGAAGCTCACTTCTGTTCAATTAAACAGTCATCATTCTTATGACGAGGTGCAGTTTATCCACTCACTATGACTCTTTTAATGAGAACAACAATTAGTGATCATGTTGCAAGATGTGGTAGGGCGCAAGCCGGATATAACGGGAGAGAAGCTAAGCTACAAGTGAATGAAATTAATTTGTAAGTAGTAGGGGGATTTATTGGGTTTTGTATACGTTCGTCGCAGTTTGACACAGGCAGGCAGCCACCACACATCCAGGAAAGTGCTAGACGGCCGTTTCGTCCCATTGGGACTCGTCAGTAGCGCGCACCCGTCAAATCCTGCCGGATTCGAACCCACTACCTTACTCTTGCGAGTCAGCGACTTCTGTCACTGAGCCATAGGCGACGGCAGCGGACCGCAATGACTGATATCTAACTGCAATATAACGCGGCTCATCCTCCACTGTCTTGCAAGTTATGAATGTGCAGAGGACGGGGCTGGCCCCCGGAGCAACGACTTCCTTTGCAAGCCGCCACCAATCGAGGTGGCATGTAAGCTGCTAAGGTGACTACTGATTATTTGTAAGTAGTAAGGGAATATATTGGGTTTTGTATAAGTTCGTCGCAGTTGGACACAGGCAGACAGCCACCACACATCCAGGAAAGTGCTAGACGGCCGTTTCGTCCCATTGGGACTCGTCAGTAGCGTGCACCCGCCGAATCTTGCCGGATTCGAACCCACGACCTTACGCTTGCGAGTCAGCGACTTATGTCACTGAGCCATGGGTGACGGCAGCGGACCGTCATGACTGATATCTAACTGCGATATAGCGCGGCTCATCCTCCACTGTCTTGCATGTTGTGAATGTGCAGAGGACAGGGCTGTCATGTCAGTCATGGCGGTCCGCTGCCGTCGCCCATGGCTCAGTGACATAAGTCGCTGACTCGCAAAAGTAAGGTCGTGGGTTCGAATCCGGCAGGATTCGGCGGGTGCGCGCTACTGACGAGTCCCAATAGGACGAAACGGCCGTCTAGCGCTTTCCTGGATGTGTGGTGACTGTCTGCCTGTGTCTAGCTGCGACGAACTTATACAGAATGAAATTAAGTGAGGTAGAGTGCTGATAGCCGGATGCGAGATATTGAGTGCAGATGCATCACTGGCTGCGCGACTACGCCATGTCCCATAGGGTCTCTGATAGCTGTAGAGGTCTCACGCTAGGCCCAGGTCTACAGAGATTGCGCATTTTAGCCCGACCAAGTCTTTCGGATATTCTTTTCATGCATTTACGGCACCTGGCGCTCTCATCTAACTGGTTACAGCGACTGTAACCGGTAAAAATACCGGAACATCAATCTGTCAATGAGACTACTTATCTTCGACCATTTATCTGGGAAGGATCGCTCAAGCTTGTGAGGATCTACGGTGTACTGTTGAGCGTTTGCGTAACAGTAAGCTCAAATACCCATTTTGACCATGGCGGACCAATCAGCAGCCAGGTTTCTTAACTAATCGCTCTTAGTGGCCACTTTTGCTCACGCTTTGTCTGTTTCAAATCATCGTTGGGAAAACATTCAATCTTGAATGTCGAAAACTTCACTTTCCCTCCTGCTCCGATTCTTGCGTTACTGTGTCCATCAGAGGCCGAACGTACCGTTTACATCTCGTTCACGTTTGAACTTCACTTCCTCGTCTGTCATTTCTCTGTATCGTTACGCATGCTTCTCATTTTCTTAGCCGGTTATATCTTGACTCTACGTGCTCTGTTTCGCTGTGCTATCTTTTGCGACGTGTCTTTAGGTGATGTACGTGTTGCTGCACTGGGAGAAGGGTAGTCCATACGAGACATTGGACCAGGGAGAGGCACGAATACTTACCCAGTGGGAACAATTCGATGACGGTGAACAGTTTTCGCCCACCAAGAAATTTCTACTGGTGGTTCCAATTGTATTGTAAGCTGACGCTTTGTGTTGTTTGGTGTTTATACGTCATTTGCTCTATTTCATGTATCTATGCCGTGTTTTTTGTCGGTTTCGTGTTCATTTTTTGTATTACAGTCAACCGCATTACGTCTCAATCAATGTACTTTACGGATGCGTACAGGACATTTATTTGCGTTCAAGATTACCTTTCTTTTTCTCAGATATGCAGTATTTTTATAGTGGAATCTTAATATTAATGTGCCGGACGCACAGGATTTAAGTGTTTTGAGGTTGCAAGTAGCTTTTTGTGAGGTGCGATTTATTTCCTTCCTGATATCTAATTTAAGCTCTAATACATCGTCTCTAATGCGTTACCTTGTTTGGGAATTGACTCACATGAAGCACCTCACGGTGTTGTCTTTGCTTCTTGCTGAGTGTACTATTCATCCTGAGCTTCGCGCCTTTATGTGGAATTGAGTTTACAGCGTGATCCTCCTTTATGTGGTCTTGTGTCACACGTGTGCTCTGTCCATCCCGTCCTCAATGTGACGCTTGCTTCTGATCAAGATTCGCGGTCCGATCTCGTGTAGTTATGCATTTGCGACTTTTTCTTTTCCTACTTATTTGGGATTCCGCTGGTCTCCATCCGTGCTACTCTTTTATATAAACTACACGTGGATTTGCACCTCTTCACGCGTGATGATTAATGACACGGTCGTGTGGCATTTCAGCTGTTTGCTCTGTTCTTTTACCTCGTATTGGCATCAAGCATCAAGGAAGTTTGGCCTACTTAGGTCTCTCATGTATGTAACCACCTATGACTCCTTCTACCCGTCTCGTCTCAGCTCCATTTGCTTGTTGACCATGTTTCATTTTCGACTGGTTATCCTGCTTTTACTCTTTCCACAATTTGCGAAGCTCGCCTTAACAGATTGATGATATTTTCAAGTATTCTGTTATCACTCCTTGTTGATTTGCTGTTGTAGATGTCATCCACTGTAGGTTACATATGTCAAACATGTCCGTTCACACCTGATGGATGTCACGTCGTGTTTGCCTTAGTTACCGATCACATTGGGACCCTGTTTTCTCCGAATTGTGCTACTCGCACAGCCCTACCCACTGTATGTAATGCTTGCTCTCTTTGTTCGCGCTACCATCCCAAGCTGTCCACGTCATTGTTACACCCGTTGAGCTGTTGGGTGAAATGCTTGGTGATGTATCCGGCTGTTCACTCATGCAGTCTCGTTCGTTTGAGAGGACAACAGATGACAGCAGCAATTCAAGCGTTCGCAAGCCGCCACCTCGAAACTGTTTGATCTGTGCTACCAACTGCGCATCTCATTTGTCCCACGGAGAATAGTGCAGGGGGCCATCGTATCCTGGCATACCTGCCAGAATCCGACGCTCTTGTTGTAGAAACTCATGCACTTATAGCCCCGCAGCCGCATTTTTGCGTTTTCTTTAACTCGCAGAGCAAAGGCAACGTCATCGCAATCACTAACAGCCATTTGATATGATGCTTCGCTGCCATACAACCAGAGTGATCTAAGGAACATGTGTCAAACATATGGCCCGCGGGCCACATCTGGCCCGGTGTACAATTATATATTGCCCGTGAGAGGTTTTAGGCAAAAATATTGTTAATGGCCCGGCGATAAAAACCCATCTTCACTGCATTATACCGTTGGCTGGTGCTGCCACTGCTGTTCGTGTCTGCAGGAAGGGTTCATAGGCTGTTGGATAAAGGACGCTCCGCCAGAACAGTCGCCGCGAAGTGTACAGGCAGGAATTTTATCTTTATCTCCGAGAGAAAACATCCCGACCTCACCTGGGATCGAACGCGGGTCACACGAAGTATGAGCCCGACGATCCTGAACCCTCGGCCAACCACACTTCGGCCTACGCAACCAGGTAGTATCTCGTCTGCTGACAAACCATGGAAACACATTCACCTTCTTGCTCTCACGATCTGCGTTCCTGTTACTGTACCAGGTTTACAATCAACGCCACCCAATTACCTATCTTCCCTTTGTACTGTTCACCCACTTCATTACCTGATTCATCGGTGGTGAACAACTCTATCTTCACCGGTGACTTCGTCATATCAACATCCGCTAACTCAGCCACACAGGGCTTCACAGGGAATCATCAGCCACGTGGTCTTCCATCATCGCTTCTGCAGCCTGGAACTCCGTTCAAGCCAACAACACTAAATGTGCGCACTCTACTGCAGATCGGACAACACCCGGGATTGGCGCGCATCTTAAAAACCCTTGTAATTGATGTCTGCTGCCTGATCGAGACATGACTTCAGGATCCCAACACAGTCTACCAGCTATCGTCACCAATCCATCCCCACACTCGTTTTCACCTCCGCCTTTCTGGTGACGCCGAGTCTCGCTTTTTGGCAAGCTGGTCTTGGGATTACACTCAGTGCTAGAGCCGAGGCCGCTCTCCTTGATTGGATTCCAATCAACAGTCATCTCTGTGCTATAACGCTCCTTGGCTCCTGCAAGATTAGCAAACATCGAGTTGATAAGCGTGCGTTTTTGTGATCTTCGCCTATTCCCCCACTGACTGCAGCTGGGATGTAGTCAAGAACCAGTTCTATCAAAGCCGTCATGATCTGCTCCTAAGGGCACCTTAAACGGACATCCTCATTATGACAGGAGATTTCGGCTCACACGTTGGTTGGCTGCTTCCATCTGAACGCCACTTATATATATATATATATATATATATATATATATATATATATATATTCAAAACTATACCAATTACAATATACTTGGCTGAATGCCACTTGGGGGGAGGGGCACATGGATATTATGATATTCGATCTGACAATGGAGAATGATTGCTCAGTCTGTATGGCGATCACCAACTTTTCTTCTCCTGTACGAGCTTTCGTCACTCCAGACGACATTATGCCACCTGGTGTTCTCTATCATCACCCCAGCGTTGGTCGGCATTCGACCACATAACCATAAGTCGAAGGTGGCGTGGAAGTATGCGCGATTGCTGATCATACTGGTCTACTTGTGTGGAAACCGATCATGCATTGGTGTGCGTGACAGTTTGCATGAGCTTCGGTGGCTCCCCAAGTGCAAAACATACCCGATTGAACGTTTGCAAATTGGAAGATCCCGCAGTACAAACAGAGGATCAGCAGAAACCTCGTGGAAACTGCCCCCTCCACTTCTCTGGATGCTGGCCAGCGCTAGTTAGGCTTTCTATTCCCAGGTTTGTCCACCTGCGGGATTGTGCGCTACACAGCCAAAAGCTGGATCTCAACAACTTCTTCGGAACTTCTAGATCATCGACGCGCCGTGCCCCCTGGCACGGAACACAACAAAATCTTTCGGTCTATTTCTCTACAGCTGAAAGCAAGCCTTCGCTCTGACCGTGAATCCTGGTGGTCTAGACGTGCTGCTGTGATGGAGGCCGCTGCATCCCTTGGAAACTGTCGCAGTTTGTTTCGCCTCATCAAGGCCACCGGTTGCAATTCATACGCCATCAGTCAAACCATCTGTGAGTCAGATGGCACAAAAATCGCCAACCTGCAGAAGCGATTGGAGCGCTAGGCAGAGCACTTTGCTTTTCTATTTAACTACCCAGCACATTCCACTGTGACACCTCTATCTCCATCGGATGTTGCTTGGCCTGTCCCCAGTGATCCTCCTACCGAGGTAGAGATCCGAAGCGCGATCCGTTCTTTGAAACAGAATAAAACTTCCGGCCCTGACAACCTTCCTCCGGCTTTTTTCAAAGATGGCAGGGATATACCTGTCAACTAATTGCTCTCGCTTTTAACTAATGTTGGGACTGATGAGGTCTCCAACTCATGGGCAGACTCAATTGTTGTCCCACTTCACAAGAAAGCCCCTCGCCAAAATTGAGCTAATTACCGCGGAATCTCGCCCATCTCAGTTGCTTCCAATATCTTTATATCCATCTTACTTCGCAGGCTTTCTTCCACCAGAGAGTTTTTCCCGAGAAGAACAAGCCGGTTTTCGCCCAGGCCGAAGTTGCATTGATCAAATCTTCACGCTCGGACAAATTCTCGATCTCCGCCACGTCCACCGTCGACCAACAATCGTAGTGTTCCTAGACATCCGCGCGGCATTCGATTCAGCAGACAGAGCTGCTTCGTGGGATTGTCTACTAAAGAAGGGTATGCCCGACAAGTTTGTCACCATTCTGAGGGAACTGTACAGTCACACGTCGGGCAAAATGAGGACATACGACAGACTTTCCTTTTCGTTTGCTGTCCACTTGTTTCGCCGCTCACCGCCGGTGCTCCACCTGTTGTAAGTCCAACAAGCATGTCTCAAGGCAAGCTCATATCGGTAGCACTTTGGCATACGTTGTCAATAATGTCTTTTCCCGTCGTTGTTCCATGCATGGATTTCATGTCCAATATTTCCTCTGTAACATGCAAAATGGAGTCCACTCCGCGGATGAAGATGTCGAGCTGTGCAGTGTCAGTCGTGTCTCTACTTTTATCCACTGCAAGGGAAGATGCAACCAAGTCTGCCTTTTTCAACCAGCTGTGTTTTCACATTAGTGGCCATCTCAAAAACTCGACCGGCAACCGTTTGTCCGGACGCATGGTGTCACACACTCTCATCATGCAGCTCTTCACAGACTCTCTCTCAGTAAATGATCGGACTGATTTGGCGATCTCCTCTGCCACAATAAAAATTTCTTTCACAGCAGCTTCACTCTGTGATTTTGCTTTGATGAAAAACGTCTGCTGTCATGTTATATTCAATTTTCTGCTTTCTGTAGCTTTGCTATGCATTTAGGTTTTTAAACTTGTCTGAATGTTTAGTCCCATAGTGCCGTCGCAGATTATATTCCTCGATCACAGCCACGTTACGTCCACAAATTAGTCACACAGGTTTACCACCGATATCAGTAAACATATGTTCAACCTGCCGGAGGCTTTGAAATGCTCTGTTCTCCGAATCATCCCTTCTCCAGGCCATTGCATGCAAGTACCTTTAAAAAACGGAATGAAAAAG